TAAAATTTCATAACGTTTTGTACTACTTGGTGAAACATTGACTTTAGATTCGTGAATTTGATGTATCATAGCACATGTAATTGTTTTATCATTTAAAATATTTTTAACATAGAAAAAATATAAATCAATTATGACCGTTGAAGTATCATCTTGTTGTTGTTCTTCTTCTTCTTTAGTTAGACATGGATGATAGGGTAAATTGTAATCTTTTATCTCTTTTACATGTTCAGGAAGACACTTAACAATAATACCAGTGAGTATATTCAAAATTTCAGTCATATTTAAAGTATTTGTAAATTTTTCTTGTTTTAATTCAATTATAAGATTACATAGTTGATTAAAAAAACATTGTTTAACTGATTTTCGTATTTGACAATTTGAATGAATTAAATATTTAAATAAATTTTCTATTTGACATTGAATATCATCCTTTCTTTTATTACCTTTTAGTATTCCAATAACCCATTGTTGAATATCCATCATAAATGTACTTGATACATCAATTGAACAATTTTTAATATTAATATAATCATTGATTAAACTGAGTAGTTCACTTATTGAGTTAAAATAACCGTTTGATGGAAAATGAGTTTCATTTCAATCATGCAGCATTAAGAAAAGGTTTTGGTTATTTTTTAAAGTTTCTAAAAACTGGTTTTCCAGAAAACCGATCTTTGAAGACCTAGCAGCAGCAGTCATGGTGATATTCAGAATCAGCATGGTTGATTACCTATAGTCAATTAGGCTTTGACTGGAAAACGATTTATAAGTTGGTGGACCTCCCTCGTCAAACTACTTTTATACAGTGAGTAGTGAGTGAAATACCCTAAGTTGGTTTGTGGCCATAGTGCTTTGTTGCTGAGATACTGGATTTTTTTAGTCAGTTTTTGCCTACAGAGCTTGGATTTCGAGCAAAATCCGACTTTCGATTCTTAATTTCCAACTCGTCATACTTGTAGCCCATAGTCATAGTAGTATGACGGAAAAATATTCGGCGAGGGTCAAATATTTGAGTTTTAATATCTCAAGACAGGAAAATTTATTAGCATCGAATATTTTTCCGTCGTACTACTATGACTATGGGCTACAAGTGTGACGAGTTGGAAATCAAAATTCGAAAGTCAGATTTTGCTCGAAATCCAAGCTCTGTAGGCAAAAATTGACTAAAAATCCAGTATCTCAGCAACAAAGCACCATAGCCACAAACCAACTTAGTATTTCACTACTCACTGAAATCTACAAGATAAAGCAATCTCTGTTCAAAACCGGTTTATAACCTCAAGAGTTTCCCTCGTCAGTCCAGAAATATAATGAAATTTTAATTTCTTTTTTAGAAGATGCGTCACTTAATTCTCTACGAAAAACATATTGAACATTTTTCTATATATCTTAGAAAATAAGAGAATATAAAGGAAATACGGGGAATATGCAATCTCGACTGCTTTGTAGCCCAAAAAACACCGAGAAACAAAGGACTAGTTGCGATAAGGCCATGTTTCTAACCAAACTATTTTCAAAAAATAATTATATTTTGCTTTCTGAGTAAATCTTTCTGAGTAAAATCTTTCTGAGTAAAATGACGTATTAAATTTTTTCTGTCGAAAATCGATTTTCATTTTTTTCGAAAAATTTCCGCCCCTTTGGAACATGGAAAAAGTTTTCTGTCGTTTTATTTGAGTTATACATCATTCGATGCAGAATTTGAGGCTGATTACGAATATCAGGTTAGTTTTGCTTCAGACTTCAATGGGAATATAAAAACGGCTTTTCGGTAGGAAATATTTTTAACCGATGTAGGATTACGGCCTTCAGCCAACCTGGAAACTAAGTCTGAACACTGAAAACATGCTTAGACATATGCAGCAACGTTTTCTTTGTCCAAATCATGCGAAATAAGACGTTTAAACGCAAGTTTCGATTAAGTTGTCCACCAAAAATTGATAAATTTATGAAAAACATGAACTTTTTCAATTTTCGACCATGTTCTATGCTTTTTCTTCCATTTTAATACGAATTTTTCTAATTCATTTTGTATCATTTCATTAAAATTCGATAAAAATGTACGTGACATAATGTCAGATAATTGTTCACGTGTAGGAGAAACTTTATCGTTGCGTTCTTCTCGATCTGCGTTTGTTAGTAACCGAAAATAATATACCAATGCAATTGACAAGGCGATACAGAGGTGTGGATTTGGTTCATAAATTTCATTATCATATTTTAAATTCCAGAAAAAGTCAATAAGTTGAAAACAACGTTGAATTTCACCTAAAATAATTTTAAAAAAAATGACGTTCGATAGACTCTCCGGCAGAGCGCTTGACATTCATGGCCTGCTGTCACTTAACAACTTCTTCCATTTTCATAAAAAATTTGTAAGAAATAAAGTTTATTTTCAACAGACATCCGGTGAAGAATTCGAGCATGGTCCAAAGAAGATGTTAATTCTCAAATAGTCAATTCATTCTACAAAAAACCATAGAAATCCAATTGTTTTGTGGAACAACCAGTTGTCTTTTGAAAGTTAGAAATAGGTCGAATATATACACTAATCTGTGAGACTATACAGCAATATACTTTCGATTTACCACCTAATAATATACCAACAATGTCAAAGAACCTTCAAAGGACTTTTTATCTTAGCAAAAAACAGAGCAGAAAAAGCAAAACAGATGGATTTCTAAGATTTTTTGTAGGATAAATCAACGAAAATCATAGAAAAGGCACCTTAACTTTTAGAAATATTTTTTGTCGCAGTAATGGAGCCTCTCTTAATTTTACTTACGTTGAGAAACAGCATTTTCACTAAGATGTTTTGTGCAAAATTCTTGTGCACGTATTATGCAATGGCAGAGAGTTTCTTGTGCATATGTTTCTAACGGCATTGATTTATTATTTAAGTATATTTCAAACATTGATATTTTCCTTTTTATATAATCTTCTAATTGTATGTTGGGAAGTGTACCATAACAACATTTCAAATGTTCTAATGATTGTGGCAATTGATGTACTAAATACTGGTGCGATGCACAATAAGATCATTCTGTATTTCGTCCTTTCGATATGGATTGATTGCAGCTGTAAAAGAAATGTTATCCGGTAATGTTTTACCTTGAATACTACGATCCATAAACATTTCTTTAAAAAATCCTATACATGATGACGTATTAACTTCATCGAAGAAAACAACTAATTCGGCTTGTGGCAAATCATTTGCTAATTCAATTATCGGTTTCATAAATTTTCCTAAATGTTCTTCAGTTACATCTGGATGAAGTAACATTCGATAAAATAACAATTTTGTCTGAGAATAACAAATAAATTCGTTGAAGATCTTTATACTAGTTTCAATAGACGACGATTGAGCAACATTAAGCAGATTGAGCAATTGTACACTTGGCTGCAACAATTTCACTTTCGTTATTTGCGATAGAACATATTCGTATAATGTTTTGATTAATGTTTCTGTAATATTCTGAAGTCATTCTGAACTTTGACCGGTATTTGAATTTAAATCTCAAATCAAAATTTCAGCTTTATAACCAAAGTTTTGTAATGATATTTCAATCTGTTTAAGTACATGTGTGTTATCTATTGTATCTATCACATTTTGTTCTTGTTCATCTTCGTCATCATCTACTTCATTTTCATTGAACATAATCGTTGTTGAATCTAACCGCTTTCGATTATTGTATATTACTCTTTTTATTCTATTCAAAAACTTATCTAGCAACACCGGTAGCTTTCTCAAAATTTTATTAATAATATTACACAACAACCATAAACTTGTGCGCTCTCTCTCTCATTCATGCCGTTCCTTCTGCCGCGGCACAACGGATTTATTTTAATAACCTTTCAATATATTATCGGTTTCTTTTCATGTATGTATACGAATACATGAAAATTATTTTGATACAAAAATTTATTGAATTCTCTTTTACGATTAAAGAATAAAGCAAGAAACGAATAAATTTTATATATTCAAGGAGGAGAGTATTCACTGTAAATTTCTTTCGTATTGTACCAACTTCGCGAACTAAAATTACATTAATTATAGAAGACCCATTCCCACTTTTTAATACTAGTTAAAGTGTACGAGTTGCGCACGATAATGATCCAGGTCCAAGAAAACGGCACCGTTAACGGCCCGTTGACTGGTCGTTAACGGTAAGTTAACGTGCCGTAAACGGACCGTTTTCAGAACCTAAAACTCGTAACGTTGTAGGGTCTTAAATAAATCGTTTTCTC